GTGCCGATCACGCGGAGCCACAATCAGCGCCACGCCCCACGCACGCGGACGCACGCGGCACGCTCCGCAGCTGCACGCCATTCATTCCACCTTGTTTTTTTTTCCGTTGGCCGAGTGTTAAGCCCGGAGCTTTTTTCCCCCAGTTTCCGAAATTAGTTATAGGGTGCCTCCCCTGGGTGCTGCGCGGTGCTGCGCGGCGCGGCGCGTCGAGGGGGAGCCGCGAGCCGCCTGACGGCAAGCCCGCCGAGCGACACATTCTCGCAAAGAATGACGGAATCACCTGAATTCTTTCAAGGGGTCAGGGTTTTACGCGGCACCGCGACCTTGGGGGGGAGACCGGCAGACCGTCGCGTCCCCGCTCCGCCTATTTACGTATTTTTAGCCCGCGTCCCTTTCCAGAATCCGGGCGAGGCAACCCCACATGCGCGCCGCGACGCGTCCCGACATTTTTGAGGGGAAACGAAGGAAGTTACCGTTTTTTGGGGGAAGAGCACCATCATCGTCATTGTTCGTCGGCGGAGCAGAGGAAAAGAGGGTGAATCGGTGAGGCTACCGGCCGCGGGCCGCGGCAGCGCACCCCAAGCTGCGAAAATAAAACTGCAAACACATCGAGAAGACGTCGCGCTACCTGGATGGCCGCGCCATTTTTTCCGTTTTTCGTCCCCAAAACACGAAACGGTCAAAGGGGAGCCTCGGCCGCGGGGGGCGAGGCGCAGCGAGGCGTCCGCGCGCGCCTTGTCCCCCCCCCCCCCCCCCCCGCCGGCTTGGCCGCACCGCGGACTTTTAACTGTTTAAAAGGCTCCGCGACGTCCGCGGCCAGCTGACTCAGAGTCGTTTCCGTCGCTCTGTCTCTCTCGCACCTGTACGGGACGCGCCATGAGTGCGAGAGAGACAACCACTCTTCAGTGCGGCCAGGTGCGACATGCAGATGCGCTGCCGTTCAATCAATATGACCCAACGGACTTTTTTTTCGTTTGACAGTGTGGTTGCATCGTGATGGATCCTGATGACGCGCATCCTTTGATTTTTATTGAAAAATGAATGAAAAAGAGAAAATTGACTGCGTATGTTTACAATAGAAGTCGAATAGAAGCAAAAATTTGAAATTAGAAAAATTAACAAAGCACAACTAGCTACCTTAAAAATGGTACTGGATCTCTGGTAGGTAGTGTGAGGTGCAAGCACAAACAAAGAACGATTTGGCTTCCTTAAAAATTGTACTGTTTTCCTGCTGAGGACGAAAGAAGTCTTACGAATTTTCCATACTCAAACGCACGAAGCTAACAAGCCGACACCGACGAAAATAGTCTTACGAATTTTTCATACTCAAACGCACGAAGCCAACAAGCCGACACCGACGAAAATAGTCTTACGAATTTTTCATACTCAAACGCACGAAGCCAACAAGCCGACACCGACGAAAATAGTCTTACGAATTTTTCATACTCAAACGCACGAAGCCAAGAAGCCGACACCGACGAAAATAGTCTAACGAATTTTTCATACTCAAACGCACGAAGCCAACGAGCCGACACCAACGGCCGAGGACGCCGCCCAACTATTTTGGCACGTTTCTTCCCATGGTCCTATGCTCGATCGCCGAATCAAATCACGTATGCGTTCGCCGACGGCTCTTCCGAGGACCCCGTCGGCGTCAAGCCAGGCTGGCGGCTGCCTCATCGTGCAACTTGTTGAGTGTGCATAAATGTGTGCATCTATTACGAACGGTTCCCATGGCGCGTCGTGGTCTGTATCGCGACGGGCCGCGCCGCCGGCCAACGCCCCGCGGCGGAACCCGAAATCCACACACCGCCTCGCGCGCCTCGCCTGCCCAGCCGTCTATGAAATCCACGGCCACTCAATCAGGGTCGCGGCCGTCTCCTTCCGGGCACTTGTCCGCGCCCCCGGCGTCCTCGGCGTCCTCCGGGAAGGACCTGGCATTTATTTGCATCCCTTCGGAATGCGCCGCGTCGCGCCCAGAAAGGACGCGCCGCGATGCTATGCTGTACTACAGCAGACTGATTCCGAGAGTCGTTTTCGTCGCTCTGTCTCCCTCGCACTCATGGGAGCGTCCCGGAAAGGTGCGAGAGAGACACACGGCAAAAGTACCGCCTGGGATTCCCAGGCGGTGCCTGGAAAATAGGCCCTTTTTCCCATGATGCGCCTGGGAATCCCAGGCGGTACTTTTGCCGTGCAGAGCGACGAAAGCGGCTCTGGGAATCTGCGCTATGCAAATTGGCGCGCCGCAACCCGCCCCTCTCAACCTTTCGGCTGCACTGCGCAGCGCACCCCATCATCCACTCTAGTTAGTTCGGCCAGACGCATTTTTTTTTCGCACTCCCCTGCTGCGCCCAGCGATAAGTGTTATACTATCAAATGAGAAAAATAAAACATTTATTTTTTAAAAAAT